GGATAGGATAGGCGTATTTATTTTTATATATAGACGAGATCTTTCAGGCGTAAACCTGTTTCAAGCCAGTGGACTTGAAAAATGTTTGCATAATAGGCCTATATGTATAGTGACAAAAAACCCCATCGTAAATGACAAATAAACCTATATGATGGAATAAAAGAAACATACTTACACAGTACCAGTTTCTTGGTCGACGAGGTCACAGATACTAGCACCCATGTACACTCTGAAAGAAAAGTAGTCACGTATTAACATCATTATTAAAGGAAGGACTTGCATTGCTACCGGTAGAATTATGGTTACAATTTATGAGCTTGCTGTTGGTTTTACAGCCCCCACGAGATTTTTTAAAAAAAAGTGAATTAAGGCCACTAATCATTTAGGCGAGAAGATGGTAGCTGAAAACAAGCGCTCTTGGACATCCCGAGTAGCCTGCCAGATCAGTCGTTCATCAACAGTGCCAGACAAAGGATCTGGAACAAACTTCCTTTTGAACGTTAATCATTTACCTTTACTTGAGCGTTTGAAGTCACTACGCAGAAACAACTATTAAAAAAATGTTTATAATATTAAAATTTAACAGCGCCAAAAGAAATGGCTGTTTAAATAGTGTCATATAAATAGTACCATTGATTGCTTGCTTACTTGATTGATTGATTGATTGATTGCTTATTTGATTGATTGATTGATTGCTTACTTGATTGATTGATTGATTGATTGATTAGTTGATTGATTGATTGATTGCTTACTTGATTGATTGATTGATTGATTGATTGATTAGTTGATTGATTGATTGATTGATTAGTTGATTGATTGATTGATTGATTGACTGACTGACTGACTGACTGACTGACTGATTGATTGATTGATTGATTGATTGATTGACCATATTAACTATACTGATTGATTCATTCATTCATTCATTCAATCATTGATTTATTATTTGATGGGTTGATTGATTGACTGATTTATTGATTGGCCATATTGTTTGATTGGTTGATTGATATACTGTTTAAGTTAGTTTTGAATATCCATTGTTGTTTTGGTCTAGTTTTAATCATGCATGAATATAAACAGTATCCCTTCTTAAAATATCAAACAAAGTTACGATTGAGAACATTTTAGCTAATAGGCCTAAGCTTGTAAAAATTTGTTGATTTTTATACTTTGATTACTGACCTACTGTAATACTTCACCGTATTTTGTATCGTTACTGGTAAAATAATATCATCACTAATGGATTAGTACTTTCTAATCTTGAAACGATTAAATTGGTTAACAAGAGAGACATTTTTACATTCTTTTCAACTAATAGTCTATCACTTACGAGAAATTAGAATGGATAATAACCACAATCATAATTTTTACATCAAATTTATTAGGACCTAATTATATCCGATATATTTTTCTCTGATAATATAACGACAAATTAAAATGCTCAATACTAAATACCTATATAATAATTATAGTGGTATGTAGGCCGATGTTAAAATATTATTTCTATGTTATTAGTTATTTCTATTGGTTTATTGAGCTATTCTAGGCATTTTTAAACTTCTACGCACATTTGAAAAATGTAAATATAACTTAAATAATAAATTATTAAAGCATGTCGCTAGAGCATGTAACCAAATATATCTTCCTATGCATTTGTTGTGCATATCTTACACGTGATGTGTAGTAACTAGGCTTGTGGATGAGCCCATAACATTTATTTTCATTTGCATAAATCACAGGAATTATTCGACGTCATATCATGACAAAATATTCAAAAGAAACAAAAATAATATTTATACACACCTTTTTAGCGTAATGGCTGTATTCGAATCCTCGTAGTCTTCAAATTCCGTTTGAGTGTCCGATACAATATCGGATACAACAAAGCCATTAACAGTAATCACATTGTCTACAACATTAACATTGGAAAAACCATAACGGCATTATACAGTAATATCGTAGCCTAAATACGTATAGAGATTGTGTGTGATTTATTAGTATTTTTTGTATATTACTTCTGTAATCATTAGTTATTATCCTATAATAAAGAGGGAATTGTTCTTAACAGTTGACAATTTTTAATGAGTGAAGGATATATAAACTCGACTACTTTACCTGGCGTACATGCTCGGGGAGTAACACTTGTGATCTTGGGTGTTGATCCGTCACGGTACTGCAGACAAAAAGAAAATAAAATCTATTATAAATGCTTCCTAGAATAATCTTTCTTGGTTTTCACATTTAATAAACTGTTCCAAAGAAAATTATTCAGAAGTTTTTCAATTAGTTTTACACAGAGTAGATTGGACGAGCGGTTAATGGGAGGGCACTGCAATCAGACAAATCGGCGCTGGTTCAAGCGTCAAGTTCGTCCATTGTTTTGTGATACTGTAAAAGTTGTCTCAGGGTTATAGACCGAGTCTTATATAGATGTAATTTCGCCCTAACTGACGAGGAAATGTACTGAATATTCAGTACGTTTGAAAACAATTGCCAAACAAATCGCAAGTTGTTTCCGGGTGGGGCTCGAACCCACGATCTCCAGAACACTAGCCTGGTAGCATACCTCTAGACCACCGAGCTTGCGCCTGATGGCCAGGTTTGAATTCGAGTCCAAATAAGCAGCGGGTACTGCAGTGTTGATAGTAATTATTGTTATTGTCGTGGTGGAATAGACAATAACTGTAATAGTATAAGACAATAACTATAATAGTATAAGACTGAGTCTTGTTGGATAAGGACTATAAACCATAGGTCCACTTTACACAATTGATTCATGTGCACTTATAACAACCCAGTACATCATTCTAGGCGATTAGGCTGGTTGATACCCTAGTGTACACGCCCAGACAGCCCAGGTGCTAGACGACGAGACTTAATTAAAATTACACTAAAGGCCTGCTTATACTTCAACGATAACGATAACGATTAAAAAAAAAGCTAAAAAGTTTCTTCACTAGAACGATTCGATAACGATTTATCAGTTATGCGATAACAACATATTTTGACAAATCAAAAGATTACATCATAATCATGGAAAAACATTAAAATCGTAGTAGTAGCAACGATTTTATTGTTTTTCCATGATTACGATGTCATCTGATTTGATTTGTTAAAATATTTTGTTATCGTATAAATGATAAATCGTTATCGAATCATCCTTTTGTTTTCTATATGAACAATCGCTTTTTAGCTTTTTTATTGTTTTCGTTATCGTTGAAGTATAAACAGGCCTTTATAGTCCGGGCAATCATGGTTATACCCCAAAAAAAATTGCAATAGTTTTCAAAACTTTTTAGTTTGATTCTATAAGCATCTGGCTATATCATTGTTAAAATCCACCAAAATCTTTTCAGTAAAACATGGTTTTTGAGGGGTCAAAGCTCGCGAGGCCAAATGTATATTAGTTACATTATATCCGCATGTAACCTAACTGTTAGAGACAGAAAAACTACTATCGTCTCAAAATATTTCGAAAACCCATGTATATATTTACTCTAATAGAGCATTAATGTATGTCCAAATGTTGACCGAAAATGCAATTTGACCTTTGAACCTATTAAACTGACATAACAGTACATCCATCTATGGTCACAGAGACATGAGTAAAATTGTGCAGAATATGATGTTTACATTTGGACTATTATGGAATATTTATTAAAAAGTGGCAGAAGGTAAGAGTATAGTAGATAGTATTTTATTTATTAGTTGATTGCTCTCATAACTAACAATGATACTTCACAGCAATGTTATTAGTAATTTCCGTGTATTTATGCGTGTGAAAGTCAAGAATATGTTTTACATTTACATCAATATTCTTTCTTTACATTACTTAACTAATGTTCTCTCTAATCATGAATATGTTGCACCGATTGATGGAACAGATGGAATTGGGTACGACACTGTAAAAGGCGGCGTCATATGGTTTGAAATTTTGGTGGGCCCGGGAAGAACTTTTGCTCACGGAGTGAGGGCCCGGTTGAGGTGAGAAACCATAGCCCCTCTAACAATTAGCGAATTTTTATTGTCTGGGAGGCTAATTGGGTGACATAATTTAATACTTATTCACTTAAAGTGCCTTCTGCAATCAATTGGTGATCTAACCGAAGTAGGAATTTTTTGGCAAATTATTGGCAGGCCAACAGGTGGATTTTTTCAAACTAACAGCCAGTAAAATAGAGAAATTTAACTTTATTTGAACACATTTTTTTTTTAAAGGGGCAAACGTTTTTGTGCCTTCAAATGACAATACAGTGAAATATTCAACATGCTGCAAAGGACGTTAAAATATTCCTAACCGTAGGCCTAACGAATTTTCTAATTGTTCGATAGGGGATAGATTGAATTGAATTTCAATACGCATTTAACAATAAATTACTAAAAAAAACACCAATTACTATAAGATGTACCTGTAACTTCGATATCAAAATACTCAGGTAAAAATAACAATAAAGAATTGTAAACTTAAATTTAAATATTATTATTATTATTGTATTATTATCATTATTATTATTATTATTATTGATATTACCATTATTATTATTTATTTATTATTAGTGTAAAATATAGAAAATATATGAAATACAATAAATTGTATTATTATTATTATTATTGATATTATCATCATTGTTATTATTATTATTATTTGTGTACAACTAGAAATATATGAAATACTGGAAATTTTATCAGATTTCATTACTTAATTATTATGAACTCACAACCCGAAGATTAATATACGGGAGGATCATTGTTATTACTCAACCTCATCAATCTAGCGAATTAGCATTAGGCAGACGTCAAGTTACAATAGAAATCTAAAATAATGTTATTTCCTCCAGTATGCGGATACACCTTACGTTTATACATATTAATACGCCTGACGGCTTCCTCCTATCGTCATATTTTTTTGTACACACGTCACATAGGGTGGCGAATGAATCGACTAAACTACTCGCCCGCGAGATGGAAATACAACACGACAACGAGAAAATTGATTTGTTAGCTACAGCTGTCTGTGGTCGTCGGATCAGACACATTAAATTTCTTTAAGATTGTTTTTCTACGTTAAAGACATACTACAACGCCGATAGTCGTAACTGCAAATGCAAGGCGACTGGAGGCGTACGATCGTAGTCACAACGCGTCCGGCACATACATTTTCCTCTTTATAAAAGTAAATTTTAAAGGGCAACCTTTCGTTATTCGGGTAACTATAGCATAAAACAAAACACCTTCTGTTGACTACCTTTTGTTGTTGTACTTCCATGACAACCATCAATTCAAATCCCGGAAATAGACATGGAAATGGACAACTGTTTATTGAGAAATTCGTTCTAACCGATTGGTTTAGATGATAAAATAACAATAGAAAAGTTTGAATATTGATTAATTTCCTGTCATAAAACGTAGCCTATTCAGATATTCTTCTATTACGCGTAAACTATTACTTCCCAGGAGGTAAGGATAACATGGGATAACAGTATATTATCGATAAACAAGCGTAGTCAATTTTTAAATATTCAAACAACATGTGGAGTCGTGTACGCCATAGCCGAGCCGCATGGTTTACAAAATAAACAAAATAATCTGCGGGGATACATGGTGCGTGGAATAAATAATTATAAAAATTATTACTATTATTATTATTATTATTTAAATTATGTTATTATCATTATTGCTATTATTATTTTCATTAAAATTATTACTATTACTATTATTATTATTATTATTATTATTATTATTATTATTATTATTATCATACATGGTGCTGGACTAAATAATTAAAGACAAATTATTTTTTATTGTTACCATTATTACTATTATTATTATTATTATTATTATTATTATTATTATTATTATTATTATTATTATTTATTATTATTATTATTATCAAATTAGTTGTTTGTGATTCTTTTTGTGTACAGATAGATTATTATGGTTCTTTTTCATGTAATTCGTTCATTTGTGTGAGTTTTTTATATCAATTTACATAATTATGTTACGGCGATTTATGTTGGAAAGGCTTTATTTTATTTTTTTTTAAATTAATTAATTTATTTATTATTATTATTATTATTATTATTATTATTATTAAAATTATTATTATTATCATTATTGTATTATTATTTTCATTAAATTATTATTATCATTAATATTATTATTATTATTATTATTCATTATTATTATTATCAAATTAGTGTGTTTTGTGATTCTTTTTGTGTACAGATAGATTATTATGGTTCTTTTTCATGTAATTCGTTCATTTTTGTGAGTGTTTTATATCAATTTACATAATTATGTTACGGTGATTTATGTTGGAAAGGCTTTATTTTATTTATTTATTTATTATTATTTTTTTTTTTTTGTATATTGACGAAATAAGTGTTTTCATACTGCTATGTCATTATGTTATATATGAATAAAACCTGAAATAAATGATGAACGAATAAAGCAAACATTAGATGAGAGGAGCCCTCTGCATGGGCATTTATATACACCCAATCGTATTAAGCCAAGGAATAGCTTATTGAACAACGTTACTCCATTGGAAACAACATCAACACCCTCTGAAGCTCGCATCGGCTTATGGAATGAAAGAGTCCCTAAATTCAACAACCATTAGCGATGGAAATCCCACCCACTAGACCTCCCTTCTGGATCCAACAACGTCTCGGCCCGCTTGGAAGTGTCTGAACAAACTATGGACTGGAGTAGGCCTCTCCAAAGTCATCTTACACAAATGGGGTTATTCCACCAACCGAACTATTTGTGATTGTGGGAGTAAGCCTCAAACCATGCAATACCTCAGTCAGGCTTTCCAGAGTAAAAATTCATATAAATTATGCACTCACTTAGGGTTCATTTCTGCTATTATCTATTCATTATACTTATAGTATTTATTAACGTCGTCTTATATAGTTTAATTTACTCCTCGTAAATATACTTCAAATTGGTTTTGATTTAGAACTGATGATTAAGTGAAATCAGCTCTGTTTCAAATAATAATAATAATAATAATAATAATAATAATAATAATAATAGTAATAATAAATACAATAATAAGTATTATTTATATTTTGATACTTTATCAAAATAATACTACGAGTTATAATAGCAATAACACAAAACAATAACATGTGATTATAACTTTATTTTTATTATTATTTGTGTTAT